TGGTTCTGGGATGAATTTGAAAAGGGAATTCGAGTATTTATACAAAAGACAGACCTCTCTTCACAGTTTTCAGAATTCAGATGATTTTCCCTAGACTGTTAAGTCTGTCAAAATCGAATCTGACAGGTCAAGTGACAATAAATCACATGCACGTTATATGACCAAAACGACCATCCATTCGCTAGCATGACCTAAAGTTCTAGACTTTCCTTGGACCATCCGATGGACTCGGCTCTCTTATCCATTGAAAACTCTGCATCAACGTCCCGCTTTGCAGGTGGTGATGATGAGTTGCAGCTTTGGATGGTGAAATAGTTCCACCGAGAACTGATTTGAGAATCTGTGTAGTGGCTGTGCCTGCAAGTATTGCCATTAGCATGCTCATGTCCATCACGTTTGCACTCCTGCGTGAGTCCAATGATGAAGGAAAGAGTCAAGCAGAACATTTCATTTTTTTAGTGACTTCTTCTTGCATAAAGTCACGCTAATATGGAGTATACGTAGGCGTGCGTGCGTGCGTAGGGTAGCATACATCCACTGTCAGCCAACTTGATTACTTATCCTTTTGGATGACCATGATGAGAAAAAAACTTGAATTTGAATAGCCCATTCAAAACGTATGTCATATCATACCTGCTGCTCCCGTTGCACATGCATCGATGGGTCATTTGGCTGACTGGGTGCATACACAAAACTTTCACCATCCAAAGGTTTGACACCTTCATTCATACCTGCAGAACGGAACGGTGCCGTAGAGGTCTCAACGGACGGACAAGAGGGAAGAGTGCAGCAGATATATCAAAGCTGTAAAGAAAGAACTTACCAAGAAGCCGGAAAACTGGAATATCTCAGATCCGCTGGATGGCCAGTAAGAATTTACAAATTGCAGCTGCAAATGATTTGTCAAAGAAGTGTTCGCTCAAAAGCCAAGACAAGCCAGAATTCTCAGAACCCATCGGATGGTTAGAACGAGATATAAATAGCAGTTGCAGATTGTTTGTCAAGAAAGTACTTATTTGAAAGCCAAAAAAGCGGGAATGTCAGTTCCATCGGATGGCTAGCGAGAATCATAGATTATAGCTGCAGATGAGTTGTCAAAACAGTGTTCGTATGAAAACCAAAACAGTAGGGTATCTCAGAACCATCGGATGGTTAGTAGGAGTTATAAAAAGCAGCTACAGATGATCCGACAAAGAAATATTCGTTCGAAAGCCAGTAGAACGGGATATTTCAGATCCATCGGATGGTTAATGAAAACTCAAGATAGTCAAACATGAGGCAGCAGTGATGCAATATATCAAACATATTAAGGCTGCCAAGCATAATTTGCCGGAAAACCGAAAGAACAGGATATTTTTATTCCATCGGATAGACCAAGGAAAGTCTAGAATTGTAAATCATGCTAGCGAATGGATGGTCATTTTGTTTATATAACATGCATGTCAGTTGACCTGTCAGATTCGATTTTGACATACTTGACAGTCTAGGGAAAGTCATAAGAACTCTGAAACTTTGAAATGAATGGAAAAAAGGTATATAAAGTCCCCTTTTTTGATTGAATCCAACTTCCAACACCCACATCTCATTCCAGTCATCATCCACTCGTCATTCCAGACCCACTTGTCATTCCAAACCCACTCCTCATTCGAGACCCACTTCTCATTCAAGACCCCCTTGTCATTCAAGATCCACTTGCCATCCAATCAGCATCACAAGTTTCTCACGAAAAATTGACTGTGGCACTCAAATGCAAGCAAACGCGGTATCACTTCACTTCACTTCACAAAAACGGCTCACAGTCTTCTTTGACGCTTCGAGAAAATCTTTGAAATTTCAATGAACACCATCTCATATGCATCCTCACTCAATCGGCAACATCCAATTCTGACTTGTGGATCACAGCTCATTCAAGCGGCATCATTCTCTTATCATTCGAGATCCATCCACCGTACAATCGGCATCACAAGATTCTCTTTTCAAGTCGTCACACAATCATCGCGGCAATCAACGCAAATACGACCTGTATAACTTCATGAAAAGAGCTCACAAGTACAATCGCCCAAATGGAGTCCAAATCAATCAAATTTTCCACGGACGATTCGAGAAAGTCTTCTAAAGATCAAGAAGAGCAGTCGAATATTCGTTGCTTATCCCTTTGCCGATGCACGCAAGATCAAAATTCGAACGTTTCAACCGAATAAGCGAGACAGCATCAGCCAGAATGGAGCACTTGCCATCGCTATTATTCAAGTCTTCCGACACCGTCACAGCAGCATCATGTTTACTCAACGGTTCCAAAATTCAATTCACAAACAACTTTCATGGTCAAGATGGCATTACTTGATCATCAACCAAAATGGCGACATGATGACTCTTGCAACATCTTATACGACACTTGCTTTCTCATCCTTACGCCATCCTTTCTTGGGATCAAAGAACTCGTTCTTTGCTATTCTCACTCCTCCTCATACTCCTCCTCGCACTCTTCCTCACACTCCTCCTCGCACACATCCTGAAGCGACATTTCGCTTTGCAACTGCATTTAAAAAAAAGAAAATTCAAAAAATAAAAAAAAAGATCAAAAAATACAAAGCAGATCAAAAAAAAAGTAAAAGATAAAAAAGATCAAAAGTTCAAAAAAAAAAAAAAGACCTACTTCTCATTTGAAAATCACTTCATTTCCAACCAGCATTACGTACTTCTCATTCCTTGTTATCTCTACCACCAACACTCACTTCTCATCCCGCAATCGTCATTCACTTCTCATTTCGTCATCATCAACCTCTTATCATTCAACATCCATTTGATATTTAAGGCCCACTTGTCATGCAAGATCCACCTGTCATTCAAGATCCACCTGTCGATCAGTCAGCATCACGAAATTCTCACAAAACAATAATTGTGGCACTCAAAAGCAAAGTAAACATGGCATCACTTCACTTCACAAGAAAAGCCTCACAAGTGCAAACGCCAGCATGCAAACTAGCCAACCAAGGTCTTCTTTGACGCTCCGGAAAAACCTTTGAAAAAATCAACGGACGCCATCTCATATGCGTTCTCACTTAACCGGCATCATCCATTTCTATCCACTTCTCGTTTGTGGATCACAGCTCACTCAAGCGGCATCATTTACTTCTCCCTTGATGATCGCATCTCATTCAAACGGCATACTTTTCTTTTCAAGTCGTCATTCAAAATTGATCGCGGCAATCAACACAAACACGACCCGCATCACTTCGTGAAAAGAGCACACAAGTACAAACGCCTGGATGGGGCCCGAATCAGCCAAGGCCTTCTTCTTGATCAGATGAAACCTTTCAAATTGCTTGAAAAGTCATCTCGTACGTCACGCAACATCGAATCATGACATGGCATTCGAACAAGTGGGACAACAGAAGAAATGGCACACTTGACATCAACGATTGTCCTTCCTCTACCCTCCTTCTCGTGCTCCCACCTCACACTCTTTGGCTTGACATCCGTTCAACGTTACCGAAGAAGTCCGTCATCATTGGGTGATCTGAAGTGAGGTGGATCAAGCCGGTCAAAGGTCCTTCATTCATGACGTCTCTGCACTTGCATTTATCGGACCCTTACAAGCAAACATTGGCAGTCTCTGGAGAAGAAGAGAACCGGTGAATGGATCCAGACTGAGAGTCCTGAGAAGGTGGAAGGGTAGAGGTAGAAGGAGGAAGGGCAGGAGGAGGAAGGGCAGGAGGGGGAAGGGCAGGAGGAGGAAGGGCAGAGGGAGAAGGAGGAAGGGCAGAAGGAGAAGGAAGAAGGAAGAAGGGCAGAGGGAGAAGGAAGAAGGAAGAAGGGCAGAGGGAGAATGAGGAAGGGCAGAGGGAGAAGGAGGAAGGGCAGGAGGAGGACGGGCAGAGGGAGAAGGAGAAGGAGGAAGGGCAGGACTTAACACAAGATGCCACACAGAACTCATCAATAGAGTCAGCGGAGCAGTCCTAACAGAAGAAATGGCATACTTGATATCAACGTTTGTCTTTCTTCTGCCCACCTTCTCATGCTCCACCTCACACTCTTTGGCTTCACATCCGTTCAACATTGCCAAAAAAAGTCCGTCAGCTGTGAAATGGCTTTCTCAAGGGATGTCACGGCAGGCGTGCCTTGTGCGTACATCGTGTGCGACTTCTAAGACCATAATCGTCTTTTGCCGTTGCATTTTTGTTCAAATCAACGGCTGGAAGGTATGATTCGCTATCTCTTGCTCTTCTTCATGGCCTCTCTTATCTATAATTGGAATCGGAAGAAGAACTTCTTGTACGTATATGAATCTGAACGGGGTCCAAGATGCGGTGCTTTAATACGGCCGAAGATTGGCTGTGGCTTTTCTCGGTTGCTATCGTTCCCCGCGCCGCCGAGCAACGCACAAAAGCGCCGGAAGATACATTATCAATTACATAATGAATTTCAAATTGATCTTTTGTTGGAACGAAAAGAAAGAAGAAAAAAGAATTTTGATGCAACGGCGGCATCTTAGAGAATGCCAACGGACCAGAGGAATTTCGCCGTTTTAATGATTGAATGCTATAGGCACAACAGTACTGTGTTCGGCTAATCAGCATTATGCATATTATGCGGGGCGTCCCGCATCCTTAGTGCGGCGGCGCCTAAGCATGTATTATGTAGCGTGCGAATCTTGTGGGGAATAAAAAAGGGCAGATCTACCGAGGGTTCAACGTAAACAAGGCACAGGAACCTTGACATACATCCAAAGCATCAAATTCAAAGTATGTAACAGCATTAGTGCTTTTTTTAAACATTGCTGCAAAATAATCTCGCCGAGAAAGAGCGGAGAATGAATAGAATTCATATGTTCAACGCCCGTCGGAGATGGAATTATAAAGTTTTATTAAGCGCGGGGTTGAAAAATACGGGGAAGTAAGGAAACAAGACTGTTTGACTGCCTTGAAAAAAAGTTGAATCACAATCCTCCCCCCCCCCTTCTTCGCTTATTATGACCTTAATTTCGAACAACTCCTATATTAGGCGAAGTGCCTTGAGAGTCTAATCAAATAAACTTTTTCCCGGTGGCACAGTCTAAGAACTTCCCATATATAAAGTAGGATTGGAAGCGCTACCATAAAATCCCCTTTTTGTAATCCTATCAGTAAAATTGCTTCATCTCTCTTACCTAGATTGATAATCATTGCACAAAGATGGAGAAGGACAAACATGATATAAACGATCCTACGATCGTTCACACTACCAGTCATACAGATTCAGCAAAAGAAAAAACAGCTACAGGTGTCCAAGATGGAGATCAAGATAGCGAATCATATCTTCCAGTCGTTGATTTGAACAACAACGCAACGGGAAAAGTACGTAATCCTCTTGCAGATTTGTCAAGGGCAAGATTGATGGCCGATGTTGAAGCTTTCACAAGAGAAAACCAATTGGAAGAACATACGGAATTATTCAAACGTGGTGCATTGATTGCACAAAATCCTGCTGGTTATTCAGAACTTTCAGAATTAGAAAGTGACGAAAAAGATGCAATTGCAAACGAAATGGCAAACAAATGGTCTCATCCGATGATGTTATATGCAACAATCATTATTTGTTCAATCGGTGCTTGTACGCAAGGTTGGGATCAAACTGGAAGTAATGGTGCAAATCTTTCTTTCCCAAAAGAATTCGGAATTGATGCAATGGAAGGTCAACCAAACTATGAACGTGATTCTTGGATTGATGGTGTGGTAAATTCCGCTCCTTATCTTGGAAGTGCTGGTTTCGGTTGTTGGATCTCTGACCCTCTCAATAACTTAATCGGTCGTAGAGGTGTAATCTTTTTAACTGCTTTAGGTTTGATTGCAACTCCAATCGGTTCAGCTTTCACGCATTCTTGGCAACAATTATTCGTTTGTCGTTTAGTCTTGGGTTTCTGTATGGGTGCAAAAGGTAGTACAGTACCTATCTTTGCCGCAGAAAATGCGCCTGCTGCAATTCGAGGAGCATTGGTGATGAGTTGGCAATTATGGACTGCTTTCGGAATCTTTTTAGGATTCTGTGCAAACGTTATCGTAGCAGACACTGGTAGGATCGCATGGAGATTACAATTAGGATCTGCATTTATTCCCGCTGTACCTTTGGCGATCGGAATTTACTTCTGTCCCGAATCTCCACGGTGGTTGATGAAGAAGAACCGTTATCCACAAGCATTCAGATCTCTGCTAAGGCTTCGAAAGCATAGAATTCAAGCAGCTCGTGATATGTTTTACATTCATGTTTTGTTGGAAGAAGAAAAATCGATCATGAAACCCGGAAATTATTTCAAGCGTTTATCGGAATTGTTCACCATCCCTCGTGTTCGCAGAGCTACGGTAGCCTCTGGGGTTGTTATGCTTGCACAACAGATGTGCGGGATCAATATTATCGCCTTCTACAGCAGTACAATCTTCAGTAAAGCCGGTTTTACTGATCGCCAAGCCTTATATGCAAGTCTTGGGTTCGGCGCAATCAACTTTTTGTTTGCTTTCCCCGCGATTTTCACAATCGACACGTTCGGTCGTAGGTCTTTGTTATTGTTCACATTCCCAAACATGTGTTGGTCCCTTTTGGTAGCCGGCGGTGGAACATTGATTCAAAGAAACCTGCCCGATGGTACGTTGAGTCCGGCAAGGCTAGGTGTCGTCGCAACGTTTGTTTACATCTTTGCCATGTTCTATAGCCCTGGTGAAGGACCTGTTCCTTTCACATACAGTGCAGAAGTATTTCCATTGGCACAGCGTGAATTGGGAATGGGTTGGGCAGTGACGGTCTGTCTGGGCTTTGCAGCCGTTTTGTCAATCACGCTGCCGAGAATGTTGCAAGTTATGAAACCATGGGGAGTCTTTTTCTTCTATGCTGGTCTGAATGCCGTGGCATTCTTTTTAATTCTTTTCTTCGTACCCGAAACAAAACAACTTACACTGGAAGAACTGGATCAAGTGTTTGCAATTCCGCACAAAACGTTTATCGATTATCAAACCAAGAAAGCTGTGCCTTATTTCTTCAAAAGGCACGTTCTACGTCGCAAGGATGTGCATTTAGAGCCTTTGGTAGAATTGGATGATCACTTGGTAGGAAAAGCGCCAACTGCCGTAGCTCATCCTGCATAGATCAATATTTGATATAGTCGTATGTAAATGTTTGGAAGTATGTTGATTCCCTTATATACTTTCTTAAGAATTCGATGCATTTTTCATTACGATCAGAAGGATGTCAGAACGCTAGCTTGAACCTCTTCTCTAAGAAGCTTGTTGATGTCTCAGTCGAAGAGATGATCTACTTTTCAAACATGCAAGATGACAATGAGGTATAGGTTTATTTTACAGGGTTTTGTTCGTCCTTGAAGATGGGTATAGGCGTATTTGCATACTTTTTCTCAAATTCCGTTCGTAATTGTGCGTATTTTTGATCAACTTTGATTTCCTCCAAGACATTCTTGAAGATCTGTGCACTTTCTGCTTTTACAGGATCTTCGACATCTGATCTTGGCAATTGTTCTCCTCGTGTTCCATCTTCCTTTACAGCATACTTTCTTCCTCCTTTGTGATTCGCATATCGTCTTGATCTTGTGAAGCCCATCTGTATAAATTTCCTAGCCATGTCCGCTCCAATAAAGTCACCTTGCTCTAGATACTCATCAAATTGAATTCTCAACCTTTGTGAACTTTTGCGTGCCGATTGGGGATCTTTGAATTTCCAATTAGGTAGCAATTCGGATTTGTAGGGTTCTACCATCAATACTCCTTGTTCTCCTTTTCCAGGTCGATAAAGATGAGGTAATTTGCGAAGATCCAAGCGTTTATATGGAAGCGTATAAGGAAAACCTGACATGCTTACTTGTCTAGTTTTTCCTGTCATCATATCGTCGTCATCATCATAGCTGTATGTTCTTGGGTTAGAAGTGCTTTCTCTCTCTTTCTCTGTTGCTTTCCGTTTCTTTGGAGATGACTTTGGCGGGTGATCCTTTTGCACTTTGATACGACTAGACCGCCGTATTGGAGCCATCATAAGATGACAAAGTTGATGAGTAAGGATAGGCAAAGGTGGATGTATGCATGCAGCCCCCACTGTTTCTCATTCAAGCCGAATTCCGATCTTTTTAAACCCCACGCAGCGCAGCCCGTTAACGATCTTTCACATGCTTTTAATGCAATATTTTACCCCGGTCTTCCTTTGACATTCAAGGGCGGGCCCGAATTTGCTTGCCGACAGGAACACAAGTGCATTTCTGATGAAAAGAGACCCTAGCCACCACTACTCATTCTTTACACCATCATACCGTCACTCTCTCAAATGTCACCAGCAACAACAACAAAAGGCTCTACAAACGTTCTTGATACGCATTGCCAAGGAGCAGGCTTATCAAAATCCACCAAACCATGGAGTAAAGCATATCGAAGATTTCGTCAATTTGAAGGATTAGGATTGGATTCAACGTATTCAATTCATTTACCAAGATCATTACCTCCTCGTATAGATCTTAAAGGTAAAAATGTAATCATTTCAGGAAGCAATTCAGGTATTGGTTTAGAAGCTGCTTATGTTTTCGCTTTATGGGGTGCAAATGTTATCTTGGCATGTAGACCAAATGTGCCTGTATATGAATTGAGTCCTGCAGATGCTTGTCGGGAAATCGTTAATCGTGGTTCGGGAAACATTGATCCAAAACAGTTGGAAGTTTGGGATTTAGACTTGTCAAGCTTCAAAAGTGCGGAAGAATTGGGTAAAAGATGGTTGCAAACAGGAAAACCTTTGGATTATTTGATCAATAATGCTGGTCTATCTTCTCCAAAATACATCAAGACTGAAGATGGTTTCGAATTAACAAGATCTGTCAATTATTTGGGTCATTGTCTTTTATCTCTCATCCTTCTTCCAGCAATGAAGAAAGCACAAGCTCCTAGGATCGTAAATACTTGTTCATGTTTCCATTATCAAGGCGATCTTGATTTCTCAAATTTGGATTATGAAAAATCTGATGGACAAGTTCGTGGACCGGGAGGCGTTCAAGCATATTGCGATACGAAATTACAACATCTCATGTGGACTAAAGAGTTACAAGTTCGACTATCCGAAAGTGATGAATATCGACATGTAGTCGTAAATGGCGTTCATCCTGGTTTTATCGGCAGTAATATTTGGAAAGCACCCGGAATATCTGATCTAGCATGGCCACAACCGCAATTGCTCAACTGGCTCGTTTCATCCTTAAGTGTGAGCACTCAACAAGGTTCACTCTGCTTGTTGTACGGCGCTCTACATCCTAGCTTCGGTTTGAGACCATCTGAACTGGAAAAGTTGCCAAAGAATGCTTCTGCAAATACAGCTATTGCTAAAGGTTTGACAGCTCAAGTCGGTGGCCATTACATCCAACGCGATCGTGCAGAGATTCCACGTCCCGAATGTTCAGATCGTTTAGCACGGTCGAGGTTATGGCAAAGAACGTTGGAAGATATCAAAGCTGAACAACGCGGATTGGCAAGTGACCTTCCAGGACATCCTGTCGATCTTTTCTGAATGTACACGTTTCGATTCTGAAAGTAGCTGGGAATGCGAAAATAAAATTACATTTTGTAGATATATCATTCACAGACTTTCTCCGCAATTCACCCAATTCTTATCAAAGAATTTAATCTTGCGTGAAACGCTTGCCTATCGGTAAGACCAGCTTTGCTGATGATTGTACTGCTGTAAAAGGCAATAATGTTCATTCGCAGCTCGTGATATGTTTTACATTCATGTTTTGTTGGAAGAAGAAAAATCGATCATGAAACCAGGAAATCATTTCAAGCATTTATCCGAATTGTTCACGATCCGTTGAGAAGGTCTTGCGAACTCAAGGGATGGAGAATAATTCGGATAAACGCTTAAAATAATCTTCCGGTTTCATGATCGATTTTTCTTCTTCCAACAAAACATGAATGTAAAACATATCATAGTCTGCTTGAATTCTCTGCTTTTGTAACCGTAGCAAAGATCTGAAAGCTTGTGGATAACAGTTTTCTTCATCATCCACTGTTGGAAATTCGGGACAGAAATAAAATCCGATCGCCAAAGGTACAGCGAAAATCGCCTCTACTCGATCCATTTCTTCCATTCACGACCAATTTCTTGAAGTCGGCTTGAAATCGACTCTCCACTTTGCAATGTTAGTAGAGCTGCGTTCTGTGCTTCAGCAACAATTGCTGACCATATCTTCTCATCGCAAAGATTAGAGAGATCTGCTTTGCCCGATTGTTTCAAGGTAAAGAGCCCGGCAACAATTGCAGATGCAAATGTATCACCTGCTCCAGTCGTATTCACGATTTGGGAAGGATCAATATTCTTTGCGGGATGATGTGAAAGGTGAACTGAATCATTTGACGGAGAATATCTGGCAACCAAGACACCTCTTCTCCCACCTTTAACCAACAAGGTCGTCTGAAGTAGGTAGGCAAGTTGAGCAGCGGCATAAACAATGTTCTCGTTACCCCATGTGCTTGTAGCGACGCCTGAATCTGCCAATGTGCCTTCTAAATTTGGCAAATCCTTTACGGAGAAAAGATTGTGCTTGACTGCTTCAGCATGCATGGCGACTACTTCGTATACATTCGGAGTGATGACATGGGGAAAGCGAAAAGCCACTTTTGAGTTCTTTACGAGCTTGACAATGACTTGGATAACCTTGACGCTTCTCTCCACGGATGTTGGCTCGAAAAGTATGTGAGAATTGGATCTTTGCGTGAGTACTGCTTCCATTGCCTCTTTGCTGATATTTCCGTCCATGACCACTATACTGGGCTGATGTGATCTGATCATGGCATCCACTTCATCCTTCGAAGGACGACTTTCATCAATATCAGCAATCCCAGTGATAAGATCACCTCCTTTGTCTAAAAGAAGCATCACACTTGCTGTTCGTGATGGACCCGGCATCAAACCAGAAGTTGATAACCCTATTGATGACATCCCTTGTTCGATCACTTTTGCAAAATTGTCTGTTCCAACGGGTGAAACCAGTTTAACGATCACATCTTGTCCTTGCAGTATTCCGTGAATAGCTTCTGCCATATTCCTTCCCACTCCTCCCAACGATAACGATACTCTTCCTGGCCAAGTAGTTGCAATTTCATCATTTACATTTGACACTGATGTGTTGTCCTTCTGTCCGGTGATGTCGACTGCTGCATATCCTACAACCAAGATAGAAGGAGCACTCTTGGTGTCTGCAGCACTGATTAGATGAGAGAGGGAGTCCAATGTAAGCACCAAATTTAGATACATGAGGTGAACGCTTAATGCCTACTCCAACTTACGATGCATGCTTACCTGCTTGAGTGACCATTTGGGAACGCAGGTGAGAATCCCTGCATTGCTTCTTCTTTCAGCTCCTCCTCACTTTTTGCACGTAATTTCTGCAATTCGTTTGCGACTTGCGAAGCAACTTTGACATTGTTCAAGACCAGACCTCTATTGCTTACGATCGAATCACCTTTTGTCAATTCTCCAACACGTTGCAGGAGCCAAGGGGTGGCTTCTTTTCCACGTTTATCGATTCCTTGTTCGATTGATTCACGTACGGCTTGTTCGACAGCTGTTTGAATTTGTATACCCGCTTGTTCAAATTCTTCAGGGATAGGAACTCCAAAAACAAATCCATTTTGCATTCCGAAAGATTGACCAGCATGTATAATCTTTGCAGCATGAACAATGTCACGCACTTGTGAGACTTTGCTGCCCGAACTTGCAGTATAAAATGCCGGGAATTCTCCTGATGCGTTGAAAGAATGTACATTTACTCCCATCGTTTCAAGGTATTCCAATGTCCTGGGAATGTCCAAGATGGATTTGCAGCCTGAGCAAAATACTGCTACTGGCGTTCTAGATAACTCTGTCAAATCTGCGGAAACATCTAGAGAATTTTCTCCTCCTCTATGAACTCCGCCAATTCCACCGGTACCAAAGATTGGAATTCCCGCTAGATGAGCAAGGAGCATCGTCCCACTGACCGTAGTTGCGCCTATACTATCCTTCCCCGCGGCCAAAATGCCAGCCACATCTCTACGACTTGTCTTTGTGGCCTTTTTACCCGTTTCTGCTAATCTTTCGATTTGTTTTTCATCCAAGCCAACGTATGCTTTTCCATCAATGAATGCAGTCGTTGCAGGTATTGCGCCTTGATCACGAACAGTTTGTTCGATCTCTAATGCAGTTTTCAAATTAGCAGGTGAAGGTAATCCATGGGTAATGATTGTTGATTCTAAGGCTACAATTGGCTTATTTGCTGCCAAAGCTGCTCGTATGGAAGGATGTATGCGTAGGAAGCTTGCCATGACCGGAATAGAATCTGATGTGCGTAAGAAGAAGGAGGAGTAGCATACATGATCTTAAGCTTTATTTATGCTGATTCGCGCTAACAGGAAGAAGCGGAGTTACGGCCGAGCAGCGCCATCGTATCGCTTGGTGGTGAGCGTCTCGCTGACATGAAGACTCTGTTGGAATTGATTGTCTCCAGGTGCTGTTTTCAAATAGGAAAATAGAATTATAATGAGGTAGAGAAAAATGATTACTTTATACATGGGATATCTGGAGTATTTATATCTTTCATTTGGGCTAAGCGTACCAGAGCAATGGATCGTCAGCCTTGGAGGCGCATAGGCGTACGGGCGTGATACAGCCTAGTGACGCCTGCCCACGTGCAAGGCGTTAGGCGTTCGCAATACTCCAACAGACTCCCTCTAGATTCTCAGTATGGTGCTTCCTGAGGATCATTGCAATGCATTGTAATGAGGTAATCGGGATATCATTGGTGCTTATCTCCAGGATATTTACAACAATATATAAACATGTAAAGTCAATCTATGGTACAAGTAGAATAAGATATCATGGAAAGCATGATTGACAAAGCATAGAGGTTAAATTGTTAACTTTCCTATCACATCGTTCCCAAACGACTCAAGAGATATTGCTCCAAATCGATCCAACCACCTCCAACACGTGTTAACACCTTTTTGGCTTTATTGGAAGCTGGATCAGAATCGTATGAAGAATTCATCATTGTGCTATTGGGACGATGTAATTGTAATAATTTGCAAACAATTACCTTTGTTCCAACTTGATAACGTACCAAAGTTGTACTACTTGGATTCAATTCCTTCACGCCACGTGGTAAAGGTGGATCAACACGTTCGATCCTCACACCAAGCGAATTGACCACTCTTGCCACTTCAACATCGATCGCATCATTCGGATTGGGCTTGTATGCATCAAATCCTCTCTTTACTGATCCGCTATATCGACCGCCATAGCCAGCAGTTAAACGAGAAGAGGGTCTAGCACCATAAAGTGTACCTTCCCAAACGCTACTGTTTCCTCCATCACTATATGTAGGCGTTTCACGACCCGATGTGATACTAGGTGGTTTAGGTATCTGACTGACGAATTGCGAGCTGATCATTGAAGATCTCTTTGTTCGATAATTGCTTACGCTTGATGCACCATCACCTGTGCTATACGTGGTTCCTCCGCCAATGTATGAAGATGAAGGAGAAGATGACATCACATGATATTGACCAGGAGTTGATTCTCCGTTCATATGAGCAGAAGCATACGGAACTTTTGCTAAAGCTGCTGCCGATAAAGGAGTCGTTCGACCGTCATTGTTGTTGCTGAACAAGGAAGACTGTCTCCTACTGACGTTCAATGTTTTAACCGTTTGTTGCGGGCTTGTACGAGCAGAGATGGCTGCGTTTGATGTAGCAGTGGCTGACAAAGACGAAGAAGAGGGTGATTTGCTCATCTGGTGTTCAGCAGCTGCGGCCACTCGATTGGCACTATATCTCACAGGAGGAGGACGACTGCTTCTCCGGCTAGTGTTTTGACCTGTTCCCGATCCTCCCCCAAACAAGCTCATCCTTTGAACTCGGGCCATGATCGTTGGCTCCGGCGTTTGCATACTATTTCGCAAATTCGTCTCATGTTCTTTTCGACGTGAAAAGCTGACAGGAGGTGAAGAATCTGGACCGGTAGGATTTGATCGAAATTTGGACGAATTTGGACTTTTACCGAATAAAGCACTTGAATTAGACGTGAACGAAAGAGCCGAAGATGGCCTTTCTTCTCCTACATTGGAAGAACGCCTGGAAGCAGCGCCTATAATTCGTTTGCCTGCTGACATCAAACGAGGAATTCGGCTCTGACTGACATTTGTGTCATCTGTACGTTGACTTAACGACGATGAAGGCCTTTGCAAGACGCTCGCAGAGGGAGACCGATTGTGCGTCAGAGGCATTGAAAGATCTCCAACTTGATTTGATGTAGATGGTGACCACCCAATGGAGGGAGAGCGATCATGATTGATTGATTGATATCTGTTCGTCTGCACGGCAGGAGAATGAGTGCTTGGATTAAGACGAGACAATGGTCTACGGGGAGGCGTAGCAACAGCTAAACTTTCGATGTCCTGACTCGCATTTGCATCAAACTCCATCAATTGTGTCTCGATTCGCTTCAACTCTTTGTCCATCTTTGACACCCTCTCACGCAGACTGCGCCATCTCGTCTTCAATTCCATATACCGCCTAAGAATTGTACCATTTCGAGTTGAATGTTGCTTCACACCCCTTTCCAACGAGCTAAACATCTGCTCGCATGCGGGACCGTAGGATGTTCGCTTCACATTGAAGCTACGTTTGACTGTTTGTAAGGCTGCAAGTCGTTCTTCATTTGTCCTCCAAGTGGATTGAGAGAGAACATTTTCATTTTCTACTTCCATGTGCTGAGCTCCATTATCTCTGTTAAAGGCAAAAACGAAATCGTGACAGCTAGCCAAGGCCTTGTCTAAACTGTCCATCATTTCTTCCATCTGATCGCCAATCGAATTGAATACACGAAGGTACTTGTCGCCTCCCAGTTCTTCCTCTAGCGTTTTTGCTTCCTTTTGAAGTGTATCCCAATGTTGCAGCAATTCTGCATACTGTTTCTTCAGCACTTCTGGCTTCTTGGACAAACCTATGGTCTCAACGCCAAAAGCATCGTCAAAGCTGTCTAGACTGCTGAGACTATTCAAGCTTGCTAAGCTACCCCTACGCTGCAAGGTTGGAGATCGACCATTTGCATCCACTTGTTGCAGTTGTTTCTCTGCTGTCGTAAGTCGATTCGAGACGTCCTCCATTAGACCATTCAATTTCGCCATCTCCACGTCCAAGACAAGACTTTTCTCTCTTTGTGATTTATTCTCTTTTGTAGGTGTACTTGTAGAATCATTGAAAGAATTTGATCCTACATCTTCTGTTACTGCTGCAAATATACCAGCATGTCTCTTTTCTTGAATGACGAAGAGCTGTTCACGTATGGCCTCAAGTCCTGAGGAGATCCTTTTTAGGTTCTCTGCAACGACTGCCGGACTCGCTGAAGTGGTTGATGGATTGCCAGAATTACCAGGGGAAGGAGCTGTATGACTATTTGCTTCATCGATTGCGGTGAATGTAGTACTTGAATCATTTTGTACTCTTATGCTTTCATCGCCACCATTATTGATATCCTCTAATCGAATATTGGCCAAAGAATCGGCCAATTGAGAAGGCGAATCCGGAATACGAGGATGAGCGATAGCAGCCATTCTTTTGAATAAAATCGTTCAAAGCAAGAATGCTTGAGACCAAAAGAGAATTGTGGAAATGTATCTCAATACATTGTTATCAGAATTGGATGATGACGGTGATGGATTGTGATTGAGTTGATGAAGTGGATGATAGCCATTATGATTTTCTATTGGCGCTAAACACACAGGCCAACATGCATTTCATGCAATTAAGTTTGTTTTTGTATGCACTGCACGGGTGTTTTTGCAAGTGTTGGTTTATTTCTCTGCATTTGCGGGCAAAACGCGTCAATAATCACAGCCTAGTAACAATTATCGCGGCGCCCTATTTTGTGTTTGTAATGTCCGTCCGGTTTATTGTATTATAACCGGCCGTTTAACTTTTTTTCAACTTTCAAAGCAATCTGCGCCGCATCCAATCATTTCTTCCATCCGCTCCTCATCATCAGAAAGACAAGATGACGTCCTATTTACAGTCTACGCGGGACTTCTTATATCGTAGAAGGAAACCATTTATTGTCGTAGGCACGCTGGTAGGAGGAGTGTATATGGTAGCCAATTATGCCGTATCAAAAATAAGCGATATGCAGAACCGAATGGTAGAGGAAAGAAGAGATAAAGAGAAGTGAGTACGAACTTAGAGAAGGTGGAATGGTATAGAGTCTGACCATCTCTCTACCTAATACAGTCTACGGCGAAGATTCAATCAAAATCAAGAAGATTGCACGTACACCGTTCAAGCTCTTCTGCCTACGTTGGGAGATCAGCTCTTTGCATATATGGATGTAGAAGGATTGACAGCGAAATTGCAACAAGGCAGACAGGTAGCTAGTGAACCTCAAACGCCTGCGCCAAAGACAAATGGATCTATCCCACACAAAGAATCGCAAGTCACAACAGAAGAGGGAGAAAGTACCCCTGAAAAAGATGGACTGCCAAGCAAGGTACAAGAGCAAATTAGCGAAGGTGACCCTACCAGCTCAAGGCAGGAGGGTGCAGAATCTACACAATCTGCAGAAACATCTGGTAAAGAAACGGTCTCAACGTCTGATACTGCCATGGAACAGGCCTGGAACAATGCTGTACCTCGTGCAAGTTTGTCAGGCTTGGATTCAGTAGCTGAGCCTTCTCCGCAACCGATCGCTAGCGAAGCACGTCTTACGCCCTCTCCACAGCCATCGACACCTGTTCTGACAAATACAACAGATCCTGTACAAGAGCATGTACCAGAAAGCATCGCAGAAACACAGCCTAAAGTCGAACCAGAAGAGTCAAAATCGAATCACGAAGTAGCACAGGAAAGTGCAGCAGAGTCCAAAGAATCGCTTTTGAAAGAGAAACGTGCAAAGTTGGCGCTTTGGAACGAGCTCAAGATTGCATCGATCTCCCGTACGATTACAACTTTGTACGGCATCGTTCTCTTATCACTACAGACACGCGTCCAACTAAATCTTTTGGGTCGATATGCTTATTTGACCTCGGTAACATCTTTGTCTGCTTCTGATGAATCTGCCAAGCATCACATTCGAATCGAAAGGAACGATGGCTTCGAAGACCTTGACGAAGATGGCGAAGAGGAAAGAGAGGAGAACACGCAAAGTACAATTGCAAACTCTGACGTTTTAACAAATGGAATTGATCTGCAAACCGAAAAAATATATCTGACCTTGAGTTGGTGGTTCTTACATCGAGGATGGCAAGAATTAGCCGATATCGTACGATCAGCTGTGGAAGAGGTATTTGGGGATCTTCCTTTGAAAGCACAATTATCGCATGCGGAATTCATCTCTTTAATTCAAAAGGTACGAAGGAGGGTGGAGTATGAACCCCATTCTACCGACGGTCAAAGTCATTTAGGGACCTCTTTTGCTAGCCTTGATGTAAGATCAGAGTATAGCGAAGCAACAACGACAATGACATCAGCACGAAGGAGAGGAAAAAGGCGAGATTTTTCATCGATACTCTTCCCGCCACAAGGACAAGAATTGCAAGTTCTCATCGATGCAGGAGCACTGCCACAATCTTCAAAAGTTGGTACGGTAGGCAACTTGCAATCCTTGTCAAACACTTTACCGGCACTTCTGGATGAAACGCGGGATTTGGTGGAATCAAACGATTTCTGGCGTGTGTTAAAGTTGGGATTACGAGAAAGCTTTGGAATATTCGAGCATAATCTAAGACCTTCTTTTGGATTAGAAGCATCGCACCCAAAAGCACCACTTCCACCACCACCAGAGGCCAGTATCACCGAATTGCCTCCTTCAGCAGATCCACCACTACCACCAAAAATCAATGGTGGGCATTCGACTGGAGATGTTCAAGAAGAAGGTAAATCGATCAGATTGGCAAGCTTGTTCCCGGTCGTTGCCCGTCAAAGCTCTGCAGCAATTAATGGATTCCCAAATGAATATATGGATGCTTTAAATAATGTGAAAGAATTACGAGCTTTTTGTGCTGTGATTTATTCAAGTTGGTCATAAAGCATGATGATGTTGCAAGATATGATACCAACTGTATATTGTACAACGTACTTGTACTATAATAATAATAATCATTGTTTTGAATCAGTGTCACAATCTCTGTGTTCCTTCGAATGTCCTTCCGGCAATGCCGATCTGCGCCTTATCGGTTAATGCGTGCGCTGCTACGCTAAGGATCAAAAAAGTGTGGGGAAATTGTGCCACAACGGGAATGCCAAGATCCATTTGCCGTTACTGTTTGTGACAATCTCCACTCCTCATCCTTCTTACCTTCATCACAAATAAAAGCCAACGACAAAAGAAAGGATGACGGCTTCTACTAATCTCAAACATCCTCAACATGCTATTCACGATCAATCAATCCACAATCGTGAAGAATTTTGGATGAAAGCAGCGAGTAGCATTCATTGGCATCAAACACCTTCTTGTGCATTTGGTAAATCACTTCGTCAAACGGATTATGTGAAAAAAGGAGATGACACCTGGTTTCCAAACGGATCTACAAACACATGCTTCAATTGTTTGGATAGACATATTTATCCACCTCAACATTCAGCTTCAACGCCTTTAACCGCTTCACCTTTAACGCCTCATTTGACCTACAACGTAGAAGCAGCAAACAAAGTTGCATTTCATCATGTTAGTCCTTTACCATTTCAAAAGCAACAATATCGTAAAGTGACATATGGAGAAGCATTAGAAATGACACAAACATTAAGTGGAGCTTTGAAATCGCTCGGAGTACGTAAAGGTGATGTTGTAACAATTTACATGGGAATGATTGTTGAAACGGCAATCGCAATGTTGGCTTGTGCAAGGATTGGTGCAATTCATAGTGTTGTCTTTGGTGGCTTTGCTCCAAAGGAATTGGCAAAAAGGATCGAAGATGCAAAGTCTAAACTTGTCATTTCTACTTCTTGTGGTTTAGAACCTAAAGGACCGGTCGCATATAAACCTTTAGTGGACGAGGCATTACGAACCAGTAAACATAAACCTTCAAGCGGAGTTTTGTTCTTTCAACGTCATACAATCGTAGGTCATACACCTGAACAATTAGCACCAAGAGGCAAGAATGGCCCTGGAGGTGTGCCTGAATGGGATTGGGAAATGGAATGTGAATCTGTCAAAAGTGGAAAAGATGGAAGTGAAAAATGCTGGAGTTGTCACCCTGTCGGATCAGAAGAGCCGCTCTATACACTTTATACTTCTGGTACAACCGGAATGCCAAAAGGTGTCGTTCGTCTTTCAGGAGGTCATTTGGTCCAACTTCGTTATTCGATCGAACATGTGTTCGGAATGCGTTCAAATGATACAATGTTATGTGCAAGCGATCTTGGTTGGGTTGTTGGTCATTCGTATATCCTTTATGGTCCTCTTTTATTGGGCGCATCAACCGTTTTATTCGAAGGTAAACCAATCACACCTGATGCTGGCATCTTATGGAGAACGGTAAGTCAATTAAACGTAACTCATATGTTTACCGCTCCTACCGCATTACGGGCAGTACGTGGTCTGGATCCTGAAGGTGCAATGATGCGTGGTTCTTCGATCTCTTTGCGTACTTTACGTACCTTGTTCTTGGCAGGTGAAAGAAGTGAACCACAAATCGTTGAAGTTTATGCCAAATTGTTATCCGAATTAGGTGCTTCAGGTGCAAGTGTGAATGATAATTATTGGAGTACAGAATCGGGAAGTCCAATCACTGCTTTAATGTTAGGAAGTGCTTGGTCTCCTTTACCCGCAAAGCCAGGTTCGGCAGGATTACCACAACCAGGAATGGACGTTCGAATTGTGGATGATTCAGGAAAAGAAGTTGAAAAAGGTCAAATGGGAAATCTCGTTTTAGCAAAGCCATTAGCCCCAAGTGCTCTAGGAGGATTATGGAATAATTCAAAAGGATTTTACTCAAGTTATTGGGAAAGATTTGACAAGAAAGGCGATTGGTTCGACACAGGAGATGCAGCTCAAATGGATAAAGATGGCTATATAACTATCCTTGCCAGGGCTGATGATATCATCAACGTTGCCGGACACAGATTAGGAACTGGATTGATCGAACAAGTGGTGACCGGACATACAGATGTGGTAGAGTGTTGTGTTGTCGGCGCTCCAGATCAGATGAAAGGTCATACACCATTTGCATTAGTCGTCGGTAAAGCAGGTTTAGATGAAAGCAATGATCAAGAATGGATAAAGAAGATGTTGCAAAGTATCAATTCTCACGTTCGAACAGAGATTGGTCCTATCGCCCAATTGAGCGGATTGGTTATCACGGCAAAATTACCTAAAACTCGAAGTGGAAAAACACTTCGTAAGACGGTAAGAGTGATTGTCGAAAAAGCACAAACAAAGCCTCAAGAAGAAATACAAGAATCTCAATTACCAATTCCTCCAACGATTGAAGATAGGGATGTCTTACTCGACAATATTCAAAAGATACAAACGTATTTCAAAGAAAGTCGATCACGACAAGCGAAATTATAATCGATCTGTCTGAAATTGGATTTCGAAAGGGAGAAGTTGTCTATACGTACAGAAATGAGATCGATTTTTGGCCATGCTACTAGCATTGTGTGTTCCTCCTATAGTAACAGCAAATCTTTTTAGTCCCAATCACTTTCGCTATCCTCTCCTTCGTGATCGTGATTATGCGCTCCCTCTGCTTCGCTTGAACTTTCATCCTCGCCTTCGTCTCCCAGACGTGCAGCTTTGACCTTTTCGCCTCGCATGGCTGCCATTTGACCAGCCAATGTATCTTCTTCAGGGTCAGAGATGTCATCTTCATAGTCTTCATTCTCCAGCTCTGAAGCATCATCCACTTTGAGCAAAACACTCATCTCCGCTTCTGAACCAAGATAAACGTCTGATTTGACCATCGCTCGGAAAGAGTATAATCCAACTTGAGGTGGTGCTTGGAATTGAATGCTAAACGTTCTCACTGCGTCCGGTCCAATGTCTGTGCATTTGACTGGTTGGACAATAATGCGTGATTGTTTCGCATCGGCCAAGAATACCCACCAATTAGGCTTCCTTTCCTCTAAGAAGAGCGGTGCATGTGCATAGCCGATCGCCTGCTTTCCTTCAAGAGCTGGGTTTTGCTTACTTTCATTCTCGTCCTCCTCTTCATTGCTAGGTCGCACGCTTGTTTCGGTATCACGTTTGCTGAGATCAGAATTTGCTCGAACGCCATTGAACAAAAGAGTTCCATCCTTCTTAAATGGCAACGCACGAACTTTGACGATGAATTGAACAACGGCACCCGGTGTTACAATCTTTTCTCCAGTAACTTTGAAGAAAGCATCCACCATTTCAATCCTTGGCCATTCACCCAGAATACTAACAGCTTCTTTGTATTGCTGTTCGCTTATCAGACTGTTCGATTGACCAACTCGTAATCCTTTGCGACGTTCCTGATCACCCATCTTCCAGAATCCTTGTAAACCCAAATGTCCCCACTGAGCATTCGAACGTGTAGCGGCTTGAGCTGCTTCTAATGTGATTCCAGGCAATTGCATCAATTCGCTTGCGCTGCGCATTTCAGGAGATGGAGGAACGGCTTGCACCAAACATTGCAACATGTCCATCAATTGAATAGTCATATCCATCCAATTGTGTGCCAAAGAGATGGACAACATTCCATTCAGCAGTCTTTCTGCCTTTAAACCGATGACGTAGCGATCCTTGGTCAATCTAGCCGATTTGGAGTCGATGCGAAGCACGTGAGAATACAGTAAGATGAGATTCTTTCGGATTGAATGTGATCGGAAATGATCGATCAATCGCCATCTCTCGCCCATTTGTCGCAATCGTGCGCGAACCAAACTTTCCATGTGCGAAAGCTCATCTTCATCAGCTCCAGGACCACGCTTATCAAAGAGCGGATCTTGCAATTCTTCCGAAACAGCGACTAATGCCAGAATACGAGCAGGTGGAGTATCTTCTCGCAAATGCTGAAAGTATGATTGTGCAGTTGCGTTGATCAAGCCATCCTTTGTACGAGAACGTGAGCCATACCACCATCTTGCGACCAAGTAAGGCAATGCAAGACCAAAGACCATTCCGTAAATGCCGAGAACCCAAATATTATTATGACCTTCAACAACCCAAGCGGGCAAAGCGATACCCATGCTCATTTCTTGTCTTCCATCAGGGTGACCGTATAACTCAAAGTTCTTGCGAATGGTTTCATCAGTGAGAGCCTTGTAAGCCTTGGTCAAGTTTACAAAATGAGATTCGGCATCTTCCTTTGTCTGATTTTCTGCCAATCGTACTTTATCGGGATGGAACTTGATACTCAACTTTTTGTAATGGGTTTTGATTTGCTTCTCTGTTGCACTTGCAGCTATGCCCAAAACGGAAAAGGGATCGTAAATTGCATGTGAAGTGGTTGTAGCAGCATTGGCGATCGAATGGAAAAGGTATGCAACAGCAGCCCAACCTGATATGACCAAAACGATTTTCCCACTCAGTCTAGGATTTGCGAAAGACCTTTTTGTGATCTTTTTGACATTTTCGTCCTTTTGTCCTCTTGCATCAAACCAGCCTTGCTTCGATCCTTTTCCAGAACTTCGACCAGGAACTAGCGAATACGTTAATGGTAATAAAGCGGCTAACAAGAATGTTAGAAGAAAGGTTAAGAATTGTGCACCTTCATTATCATACTTGTATTGCCCCGCCATCTTGTTGTTTCAACAGCTTAAAAGGCGATTTGAATAGAGCTGTGATGTATATACGAGGGATGGAAGTAAGATTCTAGAATTCAATCATAGTAAGTACTCGTAAGTGTTGCACCTTCCAACGCATAAAATTAGCTTTTGTTCGTGCGTGCGTGTATGCTTATGTGTGCGGCGCAGCCCAGGGCCAACTCTTTAGCGTCAAATCGCTGGCGGGCGTCAATACGCGCAGGCTTCGCACTGTGATGGTGATTGCCCCTTATGCGCTGCGCCGGCGTACGGTGTGTGATGATGATGCTTTCGATTGCTTGCAGTGGTTGCCTAGGAATTACATTAACTGCATGCGCTGCGCACTCGCGCGTAGAGGACCCTTTTAAGCGCGGGCGGTCACTGAGCAAATGAATCGAGAAATTTACTGCTAAGCCTGCAAGTCGATCGAAGGAGAATTTTAGGGAAAAATAAATGCATCATTTTTGATGAAAAAGTGAACATCACCGCCCCCTTCCTTTCATCACCGTTAGAATTTGATGATCTTGGTGACTTTATTGCTTTGACAATAAAGAATCATGTCATCTCCTCCAAAAGATTCTGCCGCTCAAAGCAGAGCTCATACGGATGATTCACGTACCGTTGATCATGCTCAATTGGAGCAAGATATCGATGCTGCTCGTCAAATGAATAGAGCAAGAGTGAACTCCAATAATTTGCACAGACAACAAGATCAGCAAACCGCAGCAGCAGCAGCAACCACTAGTGCAACATCTGATTCAGTACCTTCTAACACATCATTTGTTCGATCTGGTCGTTCCGGTTCCATCATTTCTCCATCGATCCAAAATAGAGCAGGAAATGCAAACGCTTTGGACAATACGACTGTGAATGACTACATTGGCATACCCGCTTCAAGCGTAAACCAAAGCAATCGTCAACCGACGACGCCTGGCGGTCAAAGTGCTATACCACCTAACTCCTTCTCACCTTCGTCACCCGTTCATGTTTTTCAACAGCAACAACAAGCAGCAGCAGCTCAAGCACAAGCAGCAAGATTCTATATGCAACATCAACGTCATGGTAGTAATACTAGTTTGGATAGTGCATCTCATTTTATTGATCATCGCAACCAACAATCGATTGGCGTTACCGGCCCTATCAGTCCTTCATACCGTGCTTCAAGTGGAAGATTATCGATGAGCAGACCAGATGGTGCAATTCCTTCTTCGCTTCGTCAAGGTATTCCGATCGATAATGCTAGTGCGCTTGATGATGAACCTGGAAGTTCTCCCATCGAAGATGCTCTGAATCCTCATTCATTCGCTCAACGCCACCAAGCAAATCCTCGATCACACTCTAACACATATGGAGTAAGCGTAGGAAGAAGTGTAGGCTCCGGACGTGGTCAAAGATCTGAAAGATTGGTGGATATCGAAGATGAAAATGATCATTCTCGACTTGGCTTATCGTCTTCACAGAGATCAGCAGTACAAACCTCGGAAGTGCCTCATACACCTTCACGTAGGCCTTCATTAGCCGAAGATGATGTATGTTTCCCTATCTATACTCCAGGCGCAGATCAATTGGGAGGGATGGAAGGCGCACCTGAACTTGCTCGTCAAAGCTCGCAAATGAATGCAAACCATATTGCCGAGCAATTTGAACAGCAGCAGCATGCAACAGCTGAAATGGGTGCCAATGCGCATCAAACATTACCTCCCGGATTTCCCTGGACTTTTGATTTAAATTCCTTGCAAGAATACGCTGAACAAGAGAAGAAGCGTGTTCAAGAGGAAGCAACTGCAAGCACACATCCACTTTGGTCGAATTCAGGAAATCTGCGAAACAGAAGTGGTGCAGCAACAATCGCGGGAACCAGGGATATTCGACGTCAATTCAATCAAGATCAATCTTTCCGATCCTCTGCTTACGGCATTTCCCCCGATAGCGATGATGCAACCTTTTATTCTCGAAGACCAAGAAGATATAATGAAGGACAGGGTACCGAAAGCGACGCAAAATCAAGCGGACGTTATCAAAGAAAGTTGGCCTTATTCGAAGGCGCTGGAACTACACCTCCTCCGATCGGCTCTCGCTCATTGGCCGCAAATGCATCTTCAGGCAGGGATAACATTTTGGGAAAAGGAACTTTATTGAACGATGAAGTTGATCGGCACAGAGCGGGTTTGGGAGCTAAAAGGATGGATAGCAATGGCTTCCCTATTGACAACAAGACTCCACTTTTGGATTCGGCTTCTCGTACACCTCTTCCATCTTATCGTGGCACTTCAGCAGAAGGGGCTGGATGGTCACCTTCCGATGACGAAGATGGAGCGAATGGTGTTACGCCTGTTTCGAGAAGTTTATCTGTTGGCGCAAACTTGAACAATCTCGATCGACGATCGCGCAATGGACAAAGACCGATGAGAGCTGCAAGACATACACGAGCGGGATCTTATGGCAGTGAAAAGCAATATCGATTCACGTTTTACAGTAATGCATTGCCAAACACAATCCATGCAAGGCATTTGTACGAATTACCTGCTCCCGGACAGACTTTTGAGGAGCTACTGATGGGCGTTGAGGCACGAAATTCAAATCAGACAGACAATGAACAAGAAGACGAAGCTGAAACACATCCAAGCACAATGGAGACTGGAAACATTGTCAATCCAGCACCAAAGCCCAACAATACTGCTTCTTCGTCAAACAATAAAGGTGTATCAGCTTTGACATCTGCCCTGATGAATTCAGGTCGCTTGGAAGGGAGCACCGCACCCAACACGGGTGCAAATACACCGGACCACGTGCCAAATGTGCGTACTGCAACCCTCACATCGAATGCTGCCAAAGCCCATATGGGTCAACAAATCGGTGGACAACATGCCTTGCCTGGAGCGAATAGCACAACAGCCGCTTTGCCTGCTGCTACTATGGAAAAAGCTCGTGCTTTACCGGGCGGAGGCTACCGTGTCGAACAAGATCCAGAAACTTGTACTTGGTGGTTGGACGTCCTTTGTCCAACAGATCAAGAGATGAAAACATTAAGTCGAGTATTTGGAATCCATCCTTTGACAACTGAAGATATCCTTATGGAAGAAACCCGAGAAAAGATTGAACTGTTCCGAAATTATTACTTGGTCTGTTTCAGATCTTTTGATCAAGACCCATACAGTCCGACATATTTGGAGCCTTTGAATATGTATGTGATCGTTTTCCGCGAAGGGACATTGTCATTCCATTTCCGTGCAACACCACATCCACAAAACGTTCGAAGGCGTATCAAACAATTAAAGGATTACATCAACGTCACATCCGATTGGATCTCTTATGCGCTCATCGATGACATCACTGACGCATTTGGCCCTCTGATTCAATCGATCGAATACGAAGTAGACAGTATCGATGAATTGGTACTCATCTTAAAGGAAGCTGAACAAAGCGATATGCTTCGAAGAATCGGAACATGTCGTAAGAAAGTCATGGGTCTTTTACGTCTTATGGGTAACAAAGCAGACGTTGTCAAAGGTTTGGCAAAGCGTTGTAACGAGAACTGGTCAGTTGCGCCTAAATCTGATATCGGACTTTATCTCAGTGATATTCAAGACCATTTGATCACCATGACGCAAAATTTGAATCACTACGAAAAGATTTTAAGTCGTAGTCATAGCAATTACTTGGCACAAATTTCGATCGAAATGACGGATGCAAATAATCAAATTAATGACGTCTTGAGCAAATTGACTGCTCTTGGTACTGTCATCGTTCCTTTGAACGTCATCACAGGTTTATGGGGAATGAACGTTCATGTTCCTGGTCAAGATATCGAAACTTTGGATTGGTTCTTTGGCATTTTGGCTGTAATGGTTGCTTTGGCTGTTGTCGGTTATTTTGCTACAATCCGTTATCTCAGCCGGTAGAGGCATTGCTTCATTTTTTGTATTCATTTATTCATCTCGGGAGTGTTGCAATATATACAGTTTATAAGGTAGCTTGATTTTTGTTGTGAGGAAGTCCATTTCCTACCAATGACCACCGTAATTCCATCGCTCGATGCCAAGATTGGTCATCTTGCGGTAGATTTAAAGTAATCTGACTCTCTCTGTTGTCACGATCGCAACAATAAACTTTTCGACCTTCTGACTGAGCATTATCATCCGCTTCGGGGTCAGGTAAAGCTAATTTCTGCAAATGTAAGAATATCCCTCTAGCTGCAGCAGGATATAAGCTTTCTGGATAATCGCTATACAACTTTGAAACGATATCAGGAATTGTCCAGAATGATGAAGCTTTTTGCGAATCATGTTCAGATGCAGAAGGTGCAGGTTGCTTCAAGAGATCTAGAATTTGATTTTCACGTTGTATCCGATGATCCAAATATTCTTGTAAAGTACCTGTGCCATCGACAATTGACGGACCGTGTGCGGGATATAAATGACCTTTTGTTGAAACAGAATCATCCAAATCATCTTTTTGTTCATCAAGAATTCTCTTGCATGTCTTCAGACTACGCAAATAAGCGCCTAAATCTTCGAATACACTTGTTCCTTGACCCAAAACATGATCACCCGTTAGCAAAATGCCATCTTCTTTGAGAAGAAGACAGATATGGTCGGAAGTATGTCCAGGTGAATGAATGACTTGCAAGGATCGCAGCGAATTAGGTTGGGATGAAGTTTGAGTAGTGTGTAGTATGTCGCCATCTTTGAGAAAATGCAGAGGTGATCCAGATGATTTGGAAGTAAATCCACTCCCGGAATCCTTCAATAAGTCCAATATATGATGATCGACTGAATTGTCAGAGAACTTATGTATTTTGGGAGGTTGATGATCTAAGCTCTGGAGTAGCTTCAAGACTGAAGGCAAGCCTCCAATGTGATCATGATGCCAATGCGTTAGCACAATGTCGGTAATCACCCTTTTGGAAGGGCCTACTCGAGGATCTTTTCCCAATAAGATTGTCTTAAGTCGATCGATATAACCTTCTTTGCCTTCACCTGTATCTATTAGGATACAGTTGATCGCTTCTGTGGAGTTCTCATCTGATTGAGTTGGCCTCGAGATCAAGTATGTATTTGTACCTGGAACATATAGGGGTAAAAGTCAGCTAAATGCGCAGTCAAAAATAGACGGATAACCCTGCATACTTACCTTGTAGGGTGAATTTTCCTGGATTTCCACCTAATATTCTCACCACAGAGCCTACCATTCGAGTCACATCCTCTAATGATTGCAATTTTGTTGCCATTTTCGAGAGCCTTTTTAATGATTTCTTGCAAGATGATTGGCGTTTTGAATAAACGTTTGCCAAGACAATTATTCCCCGCAAAACAATTATTAATGCAATTTTAAACCAATTTCCTTTGCCCGCCGCTCGCGTTCGCCGGCTTCAGGGTCAAAAAGTTGGCCGGTCGGACAGTAATGCGGTCGGCAAACGCGGCCGATGCGGTTAGAAAAACGCCACATTAAAGTATTATCCATCGATGACCATGAATGCAATACCTCTTGAAACAAGACAGATTTAAAGATGATGAGACTTGATATATTAAAAGAGAATAATCATGCGTACAAAATAAAGCAATCGCTTTGCTATCATTCTTCATCTTTGGAAGAAGCCACCTCACGGGAATGCTTGTGAACGCATTTTAAGAAGAACCTCATCGCTTCAGGATCGACACCTGGAGTGATACCGTGACCCAAGTTGCAAATCCATGCACCCTTTCCACCAAAGCCTCCCTTTCTTGCTCTGCACATTCGATCAACCTCACGTTCAATAGCATCGTGCCCGGCATAAAGAACTGTTGGGTCCAAATTACCCTGTAAGGCTACCCTATGAGAACACTCATTCTCTCCAGCTGCTTTCTTGAAGCTACCTGCTTGACCACTCATCGCCAATTCAACAACTCTACGTGCAACTTGTGGCTCTACTTGCCAATCCAAAGCGACGACATCATAACCACTCTTTGCTACTTCAGGCAACGAATGTCCCAATGCACCTCTAGCGAAACAAATCAAAGGCACTGAGGGCGTTGATGTTCTAGACAAAGCATCACGTACTCCGCTTGCAATCTTGCGAAGGTATGGAAGTGCAAACGTTCGGAAATCGTGTGGAGATAATTCGCCAGCCCATGAATCAAAGACTTGCAAAAGCTAGAGAGTGTGTGGAAAATAAATGTTAGCACTGACAGCCAACCAACATTTCCACTTCATCATCTTCACTTACCTGTGCACCAGCTTTCACCTGTCCGACCAAAAAGTCAATACAAACATCAGCGATCCGTTCCAGCAATTCGAGTGCTTGTTCACGATATTGGAACAACCAACGTTTGGCTTTCTCAAATGTACGGCTACCTCCGCCTTCGATCATGTATGCCATCAGAGTCCAAGGTGCACCACAGAAACCGATCAAAGGTACTTCGCCTTGCAAAGCTGTTCTGGTGAGTTTGATTGCCTCAAAAACGTAACCCAATTCTTTTTCCACATCAACCTTTTTGCGTAATCGTTCCACGTCTGAAGGCTCTTTCAAAGGGTCGGGGAAGCTTGGACCTTTTTGTGGCAGCATTTCCACTTCCATACCCATTGCTTGTGGAATGACCAAGATATCGCTAAAGATGATTGCAGCATCTAGTAGGCCAGCATACCTTCTGATGGGCTGCATTGTGATCTCACAAGCAAGTGCCGGCGTACGACAGCACTCAAAGAACTCATGCTTTTCCCGCAATTCTCGAAACTCTGAAAAGATGGTGGAATGGTAAGTATGCATACGTTTATCATTCTCTCTCTACTTTTGACAACTACTCACCTGGTAGGTAACGACCTGCTTGTCTCATCACCCAAACGGGTGCCCTTTCTGTTTCTTCGCCGCGAGCTGCACGTAAGATCAGATCATTCTTCAATCCATCTTCTGGCTTCTTTTGGTCTCCTGTAGGTTTTTTAGTGGTGAATTGACTGAATTTTTTCATCTTGTCAAATGATGTGTGAATGAACAAAGATGGTGAATGAGTAAGAAGAAATGAAAGTGGGCTGCATTGCTTTAGCGTTACGTTGCGCAGCGCACGCTTCTAGGCTGTATGTGTTTGCTGCTTATTTTGTGAGCTGATTGCGTGCGTGCATGACAAGAGTGCACGCGCTGCGCTGCGCTTCTAGCTCTACGCACGGACAGGAACAACACCGCCTGTAAGAACAAAAGAAGATTAAGCCTTTCAACCACCACAGCAAAAAGTCATCATGGCACCATACGAGAATTCATTATGGTACGTAGAGACCAATTTGCATCCTTTATTGGACATTGCCGAAAAGCAACCGGCAATGGTCAACTACATTAGACCTTCTTTCTGGTCTCGATTTATGGAATTGCAAAGTGTAATGTGGGAAACAAATGCCGGGTTAACTGCAAGGCATGCTTATGATTCTCGTCCGATCAGTTGGCCAGTACTCAAACGGGGAATAAATTACTGGACAAAAGACCACCGTCAAGTTTATCTCCTTGGAAATCCATTCGTCTGGTACGGGAGCCTGTGTGCGATTATGGTCTATTTCGGCGCTCGTGCTTTGTTGATGTTACGCGCAAAACGTGGTCACAAAGACTTTAATGACTGTGAGTTGTTTTGGAAGATTGAAAGGTGCTTTGGCAGATTGACTGACTCTACTCTTCTCCTCATCAACAGCTACGGTTAAATATTACGATCAAACTGCTGGTTTTTTGACCTTAGCATGGGCGATGCACTTTCTTCCATTCTTTGCAATGCACCGACAACTATTCTTGCATCACTACCTACCCGCTCTATATTTTTCGATCTTGCTACTCTCGGTACTTTTTGATGCGCTTACATCAGGACTTCGACCACGATATCGCTTATTCGCCGCTTTAGCAATGGTTGCTGTTGCATTTCTATCGTATGCAACTTATGCACCAATCACGTATGCTACACCTTGGACAAGGCAAGCATGTGAAAGGGCAAGGTTGTCAAAGAGTTGGGACTTGAATTGTCAAGAATTCCCCGAAAACGTTGGAATGTACTCTCAATACGGACCTGCAATTCATACCGTCCCGCATAGCGTTTTAAACAACACAGGAACCGGTGTAGATGGAACAACGACAGGATTAAACGCTGCTTTCGAGCCGCAAGCAGGAAATCATCCTTTTGAAATTGCTCCCAAACAGGCGACAGTCAGTAATAGCGCAAGAGTAAGCGATGCTGAAAGTCCTGTTGCATCTTACGGCGCAAATGCAGAACAAAAGCAAGAACAAAATATTCCCGCAATGCCTGCTCCTCACCACATTCCTTCATCAAAAGGAGCAGATGATGAGAATTCCTCTTCCGCATCCTATGCAGATCAGGCGCGATTGAAGGAAGAGCAGAATGCTGATATTAAAGGACTAGATCAAGAAGGAGTTGAAGCAGTTGTGTTGGAAGGAACAGGGAACAAGCCGAAAGTACATGTTGCTTCAAGTACGTCCTTATGAAGTGGATAGAGTGTTGGAAGAATCTACTCATACGGCTACTGGCACTGCCGAGTAAAACACACACACCCTAATCCTGGATTTATATTGTACACGTATTTTTTGTATTGCATCTAGAAACGCATCCATGGACAGGAATGAATATATTTTATAATGTACATTTGCATCACAACTGCCCGTGTGATGCTGCGGGAATTGTTGGTCTACCCAGAGCTCGGGTGGCATACAATACCCTCTCACCACTACCTCTGCCTGCTCCTCCCTTTCGTTCCATCTCCAAAGCATGCAATGCGTCATCCAGATTGACGATTCGCATCTGTCTTCTTTCTTCCTCTTCTCGATGTCTTTGTCTTGCCGCCAGATCACCCCATCCTCCTGGATTGATGGAAGATGAAGCGAATGAATTGGATCCATTGGTTCCCGATTGTGCAGCAGACGTATTTTCATCCAACGTATCCTTTGAATCTTGTGCCTTCGCTCCAAATCTAGGAGCAGGCAAAGAAGATCCACTTTTACCGCCTTTTGCTTTATTCACATCTTTTGGTAAGCCAGCCCCTCCAAACATCCATGATTTGCTACCGGCCGAAAGACCCATAGCTTGAGCAGCAGTATTATTGGCCAATCGTAATCGTTTATCTTCCGTCATATTTCTCGCTGCTGTAGAAATTCCAGGCTTCTTCATCTTTCTTTTTGCATCCTCTTGTGAATTGCCACCAACACCATCGGTTGTTGATTGCGTAGCGTTGGCTTGGCCGTTTGAATTGGCTTGAATTCCTTGCTGTGATTTATTTTGTGTACCATCAGCCATCGTGGTATCTTCCGCTTCACCACGACCAGTAGAATTTGCTAAATTGGCTTCTTGTTCTTCCCTCTGCAACCTTCTCTGTCTTGCTGCTTGCTCTTGCGCTTTTTCCACCCTTGCCAAGACACTCAACAACTTTGAAGGATCTTCTTCAATTTCTTCATGATACATTGCTGATTTACCCTTCGCATGCATTGGTGGTGGCCGTAGATGAGAAGACCATTGTCGGTGTCGAGAAGCATTCACCATGGATTCGATCAAATTTCGGAAGCGAATTCTAGAAGCCAATGAAATATGCTGAAGAACCTCCGCATCAACGTGAAGTCCGTTCATTTGAGCAATTTTATGAACCCTATAGGAGAGTGGCATCAACTCGAGGTAAAAGGCAGAAGCTCTTTCCTCCTCCGCATTTCTTGCTTGTTCCATAGAATTTGGTACATTTGCAAGATTTCGTCTGTACATCGCACTTTCCTCTGCTCTTAGATCCACTCCTGATGATCCTAGAACGTCTTGTAACTGGTCCACATCATTCTGTCCCCAGCCCGCGCCACCTCCTGCTCCAGCTTCTCCTCCGCCGCTCATATTTGTACCTGTATTGACATTCATAGCTTGTTGATTGCCAGAGGCTGCGGCATTGGCAGGAGCCGCTAGTTGTGCTGATGCAGGAAAGGTACTTTGCGAGGCCATTGATGGCTGTGAAGCTGCTGGTGTTGCTATTCCCGTCCTATCGCCAACATTGAATGATGGACTCTCAAAAGAAGCCTCACTCTTTATTCCATTGCTGTGATGATTATTGGTTGGATGTCCTGCGAAAGCGACGTTGGACTGTGCGTTGTTTGGGTTTGGATTGGAATAAGGTGGATTCTGAACGGTGTTTGAGCCAGAGTTCTGCTGTGTAGGATTGGATGGTGTATCTGGATTGCCCGCTATATTCGTTTTTTGCTGTCCTGAAACGGAAGAAGACATTTGCGAAGACGATTGAGACGACATCGTTCGCCCAGGGCTTTCTACGGGATCTCAACCTTCTCTGCAAATCATCGAAGGTAACAACCGATCCTATTCACACAAATGCAAACACCTGCCTGCTCTTACTTCAATCGATATGCTGTGAAGAGTTGATGGTAGTTGATGGGATTTTTTGATCTACAATTTCATTGCACGTACACGCTGCTTATGTTTGTATGTTACGCGCAAAGCACGCTACACTTGACACCGGTTACAGGAACATTCTACTTAACTTTATGACCCCACTCTCGTAATTAACAATACAATCATCATTATTGTGGAAGCTATTCTACATTGACAGTCAAATGATGATCCAAGAAAGGGACATATGCAGATACTCTTATACTTATGCTTTTGAACGTGACTTTACAGGCGCACGAGGAGCGCCAACGGCTTTATTGGCAGACACTTCTTGTTGACCATAACCCCAATCAGGCAAAGGTACTTTATGACTGAACAAATATGCTCCCGTTAAAGTATGTCGAAGTCGAATAGTTGAACGTAATGAACGAACACGTTTCCAAGATACAGGATCGGATGAATGGCCATTTTCGATCTCTACTATCCAATGATCGTTAGAATCACCGGCAAAACGCCTTCCTCTCTCATCCACAAATCCATAACCAGACACTTCTTGTTGATAATCAGCTTCTGTGATCGGAGGACGAACATCGTGTGAATGCAGCCTCTTCTCCGTTAGCCTATGAACAAGTCGCACTTCCATACCATGTTCAAGGTATTGAATTGGATCGTTCCAATGCTTTTCCGCCTCCAGAGGTGATTCAATTGCCAAAGGAACTCCCTTCTCGTCGACGGGTGGAGGAGGGTCTTCCGGTCCTGGAGCTTTGACGATATACCATTCATTATTCTCATCACGATGTGGATAAAGTGTGATCTGTTGTTGTCCTGATCCACCAGGGTAGTTATGAGGATGAGAATGTAGATAGCCACCTTGTGTGTTCAAATGCCTGAGCGTGATTGTCGATCCAAGTGCAACATCAGCGTACGTGTCCGGCATAGCATTACCACGCAAAGAATATTGGAACGAACTTGTCATGAACCCATCTCCTTCTCCACTTCGACTTAGGACAGCCAGATGAACGGCAAAGCAACCAACATAAACGGCGAAAGGGATCAAAATCAAACAGATTGCACGGGCGACGAAATGATGAGCGATGATCCGCATCGGCAAACGAATGTCGCCCAATAAGTTCCATAATTGTGCAATCACACAAATACCAATCGTTGCTACAGTGAATAATCCTACCCATTTCACGCTCAAAACGCAACCCAATGAGATTCCTGTCAAGATGAGCCAGCCCCACCAAGATTCAGAGAATGGCCTTTTGCGCTCTTCGTTGCAAAATGAAACCCAACCGAAAGCGGTAAGGGATGTGAAGAAGACCAAAGGAGCATCCAAAAGTATAAATCGAGATTGTGTGATCAAAGCGTTTTCCAAGGTGACCAACATACTTCCGACTAATGCTGTTGTAGCACGTAAGGAGAGTGCCCGTAATGTCAGATAGGCCAAAGGTACTGTTGCAACACCGAGCAACGCACAGAAACTACGCATTGCAACGTATGGAACGGGTGTATGTTCGCCCACCAAATATTCCTTCCCAATAGTTTTAAAGTCAAATTGTCCGTTGAATCCTGAAGCCCAAGCGACAAAGGAGATGAGTAGTTTTGCCAAAGGAGGATGAACGTCCATAAAGAATCGTTGATTGATATATTTTGAAGCAAAACCACCAAAGTGAACTTCATCGAAAACAACGCTGCTCGGTTGGCCGATCTTGTACATTCGTACAAAGAATGCAAAAACGGTAACGAATGCAACCAATCGCCATTCTGCTTTCGTCACACCACCTTTTGGTGCGTTTGGCATTCCAAAAGAACCCGATAGTGGACCATGCTTGGATTCAGCTTTACCAGAATGAAGTAAAGAGCTGGCACGTGGTGTAGGTTTTGAAGAACTTCCCAAAGTTTTAGAAGATGATGAATCGGAGGTCAAACGTGAATAATCTTCATCGTTTGTTGTTTGGAATGGACCTGCCGTCGCTCCTCTAGAGCGTATTGATGAAGATGTTTGACCCAAAGACGCCATGACGACAGCTTATTGTCGGAGTGATGCTGTGTTTGCAAAAGAAGAAAGGAAACAGAATTAGGAACGCGGGTTAAATTGAATCACGCACAGACGGTTAAAGAACACAAAGCCAGCGTAGGTCCCCAGCTTGGTTTAGACTATATTGACAGCGCAGCAGCAGCACACGAGCGCAGCTCTATTCTTATCAAACTGCAACCTTTTCATTCCGTTCAGCATGCAGTACCACTCGTTGAGCCAACACTTTTGCATAGGCCAGCTTGAATACTGATACCTATGGATGAGCATGAATTGTGGTCATAATGGCAGAGGCAAGACGTAATTCAATCTTAGCATGTCACATTGCCAGACAATTACAAGGACTACAGCTTGAATATATGCATCAGAAAGTGACTTTAAGCCCGCCTTTGACGCGGCTAGGCATAACTTCGGAGATTGGTGTACGCATCACGGTAAACGTACTTTGCCCACCACTTGACGATGAGATCACCCTGATATGGTAGCTTTAACGGTCCTCTCCGGTAACTTCACATACATCGGTGGATCCCCTGGTTGGGAAAATGGCGATGGCAATACTTCCGGGCACAATGACCTTCCTTTCCACCTTCCACCTTCTTCCCTTATCCTTCTTCCCTTCCTCCCCACCTTCTTCCCTTCCTCCCCTCCTTCTTCCCTTCCTCCCCTCCTTCTGCCCTTCCTTCCCACCTTCCTCCCCTCCTTCTTCCCTTCCTCCCTCTACCCTTCCTCCTTCTCAGGACCCTCAATCAGGATCCATTCACCGTTCCTCTTCTTCTCCAGAGACTGGCAGTGTTTGCTTGTAAGAGCCCGATGAATGCGGGTGTAGCGTCATCATGAATGAAGAAACATTGACCGGCTTGATCCACCTCACTTTAAAATTACTAATGATGACGGACTTTTTCGGTAATGTTGAACGGATGTCAAGCCAAAGAGTGTGAGGTGAAAGCATGGTTGGAAAGGAGGGCAGAGGAAACACAAATGTTGATGTCAAGTGTGCCATTTCTTCCGTTGTCCCACTTATACGAATGCCAGGCCATCACTTGCTCTTGAGCGATGTAAGAGATGACTTTCATGAATCTTGAAAGGTTTCATCCGATCGAGAGAGGAAGATCTTGGCTGATTCGGGTCCCATTCAGGCATTTGTACTTGTGAGCTCTTTCCTTGAAGTGATGCGGATCGTGTTTGTGTTGATTGCCGCGTTCAATGTTGTGTGATGACTTGAAAGAGGAATTGTGATGCTGATTGCACGATGGGTGGATCTCGAGTGACAAGAGAATGATGCCGGTTGAATGAGATGTTATCCATCAATGAGAAGTGGATGATTCTTTTTGAATGAGGGGAGATTCTCGAATGACAAGAGATTGATGCCGATTGAATGCGATTGATGCCGGTTGAATGAGATGTGATCATCAAGTGAGAAGTGGATGATGCCGCTTGAATGAGCTATGATCCACAAGCGAGAAGTAGAAGATGCCGGTTGAGTGAGGACGCATATGAGATGGCGTTCATTGAATTTTCAAAGGATTCACCGGTGCATCAATGGAAGACCTTGCTTGGTTAGGGTTGCATGCCGGCGTTTGCACTTGTGAGGCTTTTTTCGTGAAGTGAAGTGATACCATGCTTGCTTGCATTTGAGTGCCACGATAATTGTTTTGTGAACGACAAGTGAATCTTGAATGTCAAGTGGATGACGATAGGAATGTCAAGTGGATGACGAGTGGAGTGGGATGAGAAGTGGATGACGATTGGGGTGGTGAGAAGTGAGTGTTGGTGGTAGAGATGACTATGGAATGAGAAGTAGGTAATGCTGGCTGGATATGAAGTGATTCTCAAATGAGAAGTAGATCTTTTCTTTGTTTTTTTTTGTGATTTTTTTTTAATTTTTTTTCTGATCTTTTCTTTTATCTTTCTTTTTTTGATCTTCTTTTTTATTTTTTGATCTTCTTTTTTTATGCAGTTGCAAAGCGAATTGTTGTTTCAGGACGTGTGAGAGGAGTGGGAGGAGTGTGAGGAGGAGTGAGAGAAGGAGTGAGAATAGCGAAGAACGAGTTCTTTGATCCTAAGAAAGGGTAAATTAAGGATGAGAAAGCAAGTATTGTGTAAGATGTTGCAAGAGTGATCATGTCGCCATTTTGATTGATGATCAAGTAATGCCATCTTGACCCTGAAAGTTGTTTGTGAAGTGAATTTTGGAACCGTTGAGTAATACCGATGGCAAATGTACCATTCCGGCTGATGATATTTCGCTTGTTCGGTAAATGCGTTCGAAGTTTGATCTTGCGTACTTCGGCAAAGGGAAAAGCGATGTATTCGACTGCTCTCCTTCATCTTTCGAAGACTTTCTCGAATTGTCCGGAGAAACATTTGCTTGATTTGGGCCCCATTCAGGCGTTTGTACTTGCGAGCTCTTTTCATGAAGTGATGCGGATCGTGTTTGTGTTGATTGCCGCGATCAATGTTGTGTGATGACTTGAAAAGAAGATTTGTGATGCTGATTGTACGATAAATGGATCTCGAATGAGTGAGAATGATGCCGGTTGAATAGGCTGTGATCCACAAATGAGAACTGGTAGAAGCCGGTTGAATGAGGTGTGATTCTCAAATGATGAATCGAGAAATTGATACCGCTTGAATGAGCTGTGGTCCGTAAATCAGAATTGGATGATGCCGGTTGAGTAAAAACATATATGAGATGGCGTTCGTTGAATTTTTCGAAAGTTTTCCCGAGCGTCAAAGAAGACCTGGCTTGGCTAGATTGTATGCTGGCGTTTGCACTGGTGAGGCTTTTCTTGTGAAGTAATTGGATTCCATTCTTGTTTGCATTTGAGTGCCACAATCATTGTTTTGTGAGAGTTTCGTGATGCTGATTGGATGACGAGTAATTCTTGAATGAGAAGTAGGTCTGGAATGAGAAGTGGTTTGGCATGAGAAGTGGATTTGGAATCAGAAGTGGGTCTTGAATGACAAGTGGATGATGATTTGAATGAGATGTGGGTGTTGGGGTGTGAATTCCATCAAAAAAGGGGACTTTATATACCTTTCATCCTCTCATTTCACAGTTTCAAGATTCGTATGATTTTCCCTAGACTGTCAAGTATGTCAAAATCGAATCTGAAAGGTCAACTTACAATAAATCACATGCATATTATGTGACCAAAACGACCATCCATTCGCTAGCATGGCCTAAAGTTCTAGACTTTCCTTGGACCATCCGATGGAATGAAGATATCCCGTTCTTTCGGCTTTTGCTGGCCTTAACATGTCTGATATATTGCATCACTGTTGCTTTATGTTTGACCATCTCGAATTCTTATCAACCATCAGATGGATATGAGATATCACGCTTCTTTGACATTTGCACAATGGCTTTCTTGATAGCTTGGATTTACCTGCACAAACTGCAGCTGCAATCCTCCATTCTTTCTGCTAACCATCCGATGGTTTTGAGATATCCCGCTCTGCTGGCTTTTGAGCGAACACTTCTTTGACAAATAATCTACAGCTGCGATCTGTAATTCTTACTGACCATCTAGCGGATCTGATATATCCCGCTTTTCCGGCTTCTCGGTAAGTTCTTTCTTTGCAGCTTTGATAAGGTTGCTGCACTCTGCTCTCTTGTCCGTGCGTTAAGACCTCTGCGCACCATTCTGCTCTGCAGGTATGAGTGAAGGAGTTAAACGTTTGGATGGTGAAAGTTTTGTGTATGCACCTATCGTTATTGACATGGCCAGTGAAATGAACCATCGATGCATGTGTAACGGGAGCAGCAGGTATGATGTGACATGCTTTTTTTTGAATGGGCTATTCAAATTCAAGTCTTTTCTCATCATGGTCATCCAAAAGGATAAGTAATCAAGTTGGCTGACAATGGATGTATGCTACCCTACGCACGCACGCACGCACGCCTACGTATACTCCATATTAGCGTGACTTTATGCAAGAAGAAAGTCACTAAAAAAATGAAATGTTCTTCTGCTTGACTCTTTCCTTCATCATTGGACTCACGCAGGAGTGCAAATGTGATGGACATGAGCATGCTAATGGCAATACTTGCAGGCACAGCAACTACACAGATTCTCAAATCAGTTCTCGGTGGAACTGTTTCACCATCCAAAGCTGCAACTCATCATCACCACCTGCAAAGCGGGACGTTGATGCA